GGGGGTCTCTGGGCAGCTGGAATAGCACAGTAGCGAAGACTGAGTGGTTAAGCAGGTACGTGGTGTGAGGCTTGAAGGGAGGGAGGAAGTAGAGCGTGGAGCTGGGCCAGTAGATGGACAAGCGGCATGGGGGTGCCTCATGGAGACTGAGTGCAGACATCTAGGAACCATTCGGCAAATACTGTTTCCACTTCCTCTGAGATCAGTGAACAGAAGACAGAGAAGGAAAGATGGATTCTACTTGGGGTCTTTAAGCAGGAGTCTGGACCATCATTAGGAAGAAACTGGATGGGTGGAAGTTGGGTGGGGCTGCTAGGAGAGAAGGTTCTAGGCCTGGATGGGCCCCTATGGGAAGCAGAGATTAGCTTGTGGAGTGCATGGCTGTGAGGGCACACAGCCAACCCGCCCCCGAGCAGAGAGCTGCTGCCTGCCTGGGACTTGAGCAGGGGTTGGCCCCCTTCAGCTGTGGCTTTCTGGGCCTGGGGCTTCAAAGGTCCCTTGGCCCCGAGGTGTTCGGGATGAGGGATGGCAAGGCTGGAGGCAGAGCCAGTAGCCCGCCAGCTGTGGACATTGCCCCTCAAGGGCCTGTGTCACCGGGTCATGATTCCAGTAAAGGCCAGGAAACTCCCTGCACTCGTGGATTGGAGGAGGCAGGGGCATATAAGGAGTTGGAGTCCTTGACCCTTCTACCCCCAGCTCCAAATTAAGCCTGGAATTCCAGGGACTTCAATGGCCAGGAATGTTCCAGATGCCTTCTGATGGGTCTGTGGAGACAGGTCTGCTGTGGCGGCTGGCTTTTTGCTTTCACTTTTGTTGTCTTTGCTCTGAAACCTAGAGGATCCTGTCTTGGAACTGACACCTTCCAGCTGTCCTTCTGTTGCTCAGAGGTGAAACTTGTGCTGCCTTTCACCCACCGCTGTTTAGGAGGGACCCTGTCTTTCACCCACCTCTGTCTAGGAGGGCTCAGGATGCCTGTCATTCAGTAAGAAATTCAGAGAGGGAAAGGCACTGGCTCGAGGGCACACAGCAAGTCAGCAGCAGCAAAGGCGGAACTGGAACCAGCCTCCAGACTCTCCCTTGCATTTGCCCAAGAGGCCTGGCCAGGCTCGGATAAAACACTTGTTTTACTTTCTAGATCAGTCCAGGCTTGGTGGTTTTAACCTTTCAGCATTTCTAGCTAGTTCCTTGGATCCTGTTCCTTCCTAGCCTAGACAGGTGACCCTGCCCAGCTCAGTGACCCATTCGTTCTCTTCCACTGGATTGAACTTTGGATGTGGGTGCTGCCCCTGCCTGTTGAGAACAGTTGGCCCCCAAAGAAACAAGTTTCTTGTTTGGCCATCTCACCTCCAGGCCTTTCAGCCTGGAAGCCCTGGCCAGAGCGGCTCTCGGAGGGTCCCTGGCCATTCAGGGCAATTCTCCACTCCTTCCTCCGCACGGCCCCCACTCCCATGGCCCGGTGACCCGGGCCTGCTGTTCAGCATTGTTTACTTCGGCTGAGTAGCTTGAAGTCTCCTTTTCCTTCCCTGCCCTAGATTTAACCAGCTGGGAAACTCTGAACCAGCTTGCTGGTCAGGCTGTGCCTTAGAACGCTGGAGCTCGAAGGGACCCCAGAGAAGGGCCTGCCTTCAGAGCCAGGGCTCAAACCCACTTTCACAGCTTTTGAGGATAATTCTTGGGAGGTCTCTCTCTCTCTGTATATTTATATTTATATATTTTTATATATATATATATACACATAAAAAATATACACAAAAAATATACATTAAAAAAAGAATATATATATATATTCTCAGGACATCACAGTGATGCACCCAGAAGGAGCACACATTGAATGCCTAAAAGTCAGGGATGCTCTGTGCTCTGGTTTTTATGTTATACTCCTGGGGTCTTGGACATCTTTGGTGGGCCCCCAAAGCCACTGGTGGATCGGCCGGAGTTGAGTTGGTCAGCAGGAAGGAGGCTTTGCTTATAAATGTTACAGATGTTCAGTGAGTGAACGATTCCTGTAAAAACACCCTGCTGCTCGGCGGCCTCACATCTCGGCATGTTCACTTCCTGCCTGTTCCCTTTGGCAGTAGGACCAGCGAGTGAGCCAGCAATTAAATCTGACAGGCACTCCCTGAACCACGCTTTCTAATGCGCCTCTGAACAGACTGGCTTTCAAAGCATTGTGTCCTCCCCCATTTACAGAAGAAGTACATGTTCACTGTAGAAAGCTCCGTGGAAGGAGACCATGGCGACCCGCTAGTGGCCACTGTTGACGCTGTGCTGTGCATTTGTTGCTTGTCCGCTGTGCGGCCTGTCCTGGGACACCCGTTTAGAGTCACCTTGTACAAGATCCCCGCGTGGCAGTTGGTTTGGTTTTGCTTTTCACACTGCTTCTTCTGTCCCATCCAGTGGCTCGCG